ACTTTTCAGTTATGCGTGTGTTGACCTATTGATTTTGGGCAAGGGAGACAGCTGTACAAGCTACAAAGTGCGTTTCCCACATAAGTCAAGCCGACCTCCTAAAGGCAATAATGAAAGAAAGCCTCCCTGGCCTCCAGTCTCACACGTGAGCAAGTCCTTCACGAATGATCCAGCTGCTTAGAGCACTGTGCTTTGAAGCAACTTGGCACTTGTGCTGCAGACAGAACGGTGTCTGCCCATGTGCTGCTGGTGGCCACCACTTCTGTTGAGGGTGGAAAGAGAGTGTGATACACAGATGCAGACTTAGAGACCAGTCCTTTCCCAAAATAGTAACAATAATAATAATAGTGCCTAGCATACTTTGAAGTAACTCAAGGTAATTGTCCCAATCCTATGGGCTGGATATTCTCATTTTCAATCACTTTCCCACTGAAAGACTCATGATATAAAGAGATGAAGTAGCTTGTCCAAGATGACACAACCAATACTTCATATAGCTAAGGTCCAAGTTAACCTTGCTCTGGAGTGCGTACTTAGAAACACTGTTCTGATTTCCCTTAGCAGCATGTAACCAAGAAGGGAAGGTCTGGAGTTAAGCAACCCCAGTTTGAGCTCCTGTGGTGGGTACGGAATCTGCTTTTCTGAGACCCAGTTTCTTCACTGCAATTGTGAGAATTAAAGGAGATAAATTTAAAATTTTAAATATATACATAAGTATATACACACATGTATATCAAGTACCCTAAAGACATTTTTTAAAACATATTAAACTTTTGTGCAGTTGATTCTCACTAGTATTTCATCTAACTTCTTTAATGTTCCCACATACCCTGAAATATCCGGATATAAGTCGTGTTTTCTGATGATGTATTCAGTGTTCGTTTTTGCATTAAAAATAAACTTCTGAAGATTTTTACTTTTAAGAACAGAATAGTTGCTTTCAGAAGAAAAACGTCAATTTTTTAAAAGACCATTTTCTAGACCTGTTAAAAGTGACTTTAATCCCTGACCTTTGCTGAACAATAGCCTCACATTTCCATTGTTGCCATGACAAATTACTACAAACTTGGTGGCCTAAAGAAAGATATTTTTATTATCTTTTAGTTCTATAGGTTAGAGCAGTCTGACCCATTTAGACAGGAGGAATAAATTCAAGATTGCCATTGTACTACATGGAGACAATATTCAATGACAGAGTATCATATTCTTGAGAATTGCTAAGAGGGTAACGTCATATCTTTTCACTACACACGGTAAATATCGTGATAATAACACTTATGTTAATAAGCTAGACTTAACCATTCCACCTTGTATTTGTATTTCAAAACATTGTATTATGCATGATAAATATGTCCAACTTTCACTAGTCAACTTCTTAAAAATTTTTTAAAGATTTATTTACTTGAGAGTCATAGTCACAATGAGAGAGAGAGAGACCAAGACCTTTCATCTGCTAGATTCATCCCCTGAATAGCCACAAAGTCCAGGACAGAGCAGAGCCGAAGCTAGGAACTTCAGAAGCTCCTAGAAGCCAGGAGACCTCTGGGTCTCCCACTAGGGTAGCAGCAGCCCAAGCATGGGGCCATCTTCCACTGCCCTTCCTAGGTCATCCGCAGGGAGCCGGTTTGGAGGTGGAGTGTCTGGGACAGAAACTGGACACCCATATGGGATGCCAGCATCAAAGGTAGCAACTTCACTCACCACACCGCCACACTGAGCCAAAAATAATTTTTAAATGAATAAAAAAATGAAAGTTGGACACAGGTTTCCCTGAGCCAAGCTCAAGGTGTCAGGATTGTATTCTGTCAAGGCTTTAGAGGGGGATCACTGCCCTGTCTTTTCCAGTTTCTAGAACTTTCCGATATTCCATGACCTATAGCCTTTTGTTCCATCTTCCAAACCAGTGCTGAAACATCTCTCTGACCCTTCTTCTTTTGAATACGGAAAGAGCATCTGATTATGTGGGACAAGGATGACAGGGTCACTGCAATATTAAAACCAATGAGGGACCTGCAGAGTAGCCAACTGGAGGCAATTAATTTGCATTCATGGCAGCTGAGGTGTTCTGTTAGTCATGAAAGGCATTTCCAGTCCCAGTTTATCATTTTTGACATATTATCAGATAAACATAAGAAAAAATGACCTTCCTTTCTACTAGTGTTTTTTGAAAGACTTTACTGTTTTTTAAGATAAATCAAATAAAGCTAGTCAAGCATCTCGGCTCTTGTGCCACTTTCAGCAGCAACACAGATCGTTGAAATGGAGTCCAAGAAGGGTTGGCAGTGAGGGTAACGATTCCCAAAGAATCAGTCCATGCAACCAGAGAAGCAGAGTGTCTGTGGGTAGCAGTCCAATTATGTAACTTGCATAGTTCCCCATACTATTTACATGTTTCCAAAACCCTTGTGGGTGTTTGCACACCCTGCACAGCATCCAGCAGCCAACTCAAGAAAAGCCAACACTAACAGACTTATTACAGCCTATTTTATCATTCCTGTAAAATCATGTCTTATTATGCAATCATCAGGATCTCTAAGCCTCAAGACACTCTCAAATAACAAGCATTTGTCTGGTGGAACAGCTCCTACAACAGAACAGATTTAATTATATAGAGAGGCCTACTTTGTGGGAGAGATGAACTTGGTTTTGAAAAACATGTGTGCCCTTAAAGGCTAGGGGACTCATAGTGAGGTGGGGATATTTCCATCCAGAAGACTCCAGCAGTGGTGAGGGAGATAGGAACAAGGTCTCGTTATCAGAAAAAGTTCCTGATGAGCCTAACAAGGAACAGATGAAATTAGAGGAAAATGAAAAAAAAAAAAAAAAAGAAAGAAAAAGAAGACGAAGAAGAAGAAAATCAGTATGAGACCTCAACGTGCGGGGGTCAGAAAGGTGTTATCCTTAACTAAATGCAACAGTTTAAAAATCTCCAGATTACACATATCTGAGGAATATGAGCGGGAGAGCTATGAGAAGATAGGGCTGGAAGTCAGGAGACCCAGACTTATTCATTCCACAAAAACTGCAGATATACCAGGCGTTTGTCCAATAAACTGAGATAATGAGTAAGGCAGGCGCACTCTTTGTCCTTCAGGAGTTATGTTTTGCTGAGAGATAGGAAGAGGGAGAGATCAAAACAACCTTTTTTTATCTGCATTTTTCTCTTCCCCAACTCCTCATGTGCTAAAAGAAGAGAAACTGAAAAGTTTCAGAGTGTTCAATTTGCATGATTAAACTTTTTTTTTTCATTTTTGCTATAATGATTCTGGTGTTTTTCTACACTCCACACAAATTAGTTATATATGAAACAGACAAATGCTTGAGAGATTTTCCTTTCAGCTCCAGGCATGGGTTGTTACTGACCTAACATGTATGGTCCTTCATTTGTAGCAGGTGTTATAAAAACATCAGCCCTCCAGCGACTGCCTTGCACCTTCACCTTTGTCTACTAAGGATTTTGAGAAATTGACTAGAGATTCTGCCCTTTTCCCAATTCCTCTGCCTGGCCGCTGCTGTTTTGCTTGAACATTTGAAGTTTTGTTTGTTTTTTTTTTTTTCCATTCAGGAATGTTTAGGTACATCACAGACCAACACACAGCAATGGGCTCCCCTAAGCCTCACCCCTTCATCTCAGCCTACATGTGAACTCCAGAGCGAGGTCTTATCTGAGTCATCTCAAACTTCCATTCCTGCCCTCCCACGCGCCTTCCCCACTCATATCTGTCACACCTTCACTACATTGTTTTTTTTCCTTCCACAGGACTCTTGTCAACATGTAATTTTTTTGAGGGAATCTCAAGAAGTTTGGTACAAATAGAATATGTTGTTGCAAAAATAAGTTTAAAACCATGTGCATGTAGGATCCTCATGTATCAAAGGGTTCACAGATGTGTATTATGAAAAAAAGTTTTGAACCAAGTGATATGTAGATTTTTTTTCTTTCCATTTTTGCATGAACCATTTATGATTGTTCAAAATTTATCTCCTTTGGAAGACAGAGAGGGAGGGAGGGAGGAGAAAAGAAAGACGATGAGAGAGAGAGATTTCCCAAATGTCAGTTCACTGCTCAAATGCCTGCCCCAGCCAAGGCCTGGCCGGGCTGAGGAATCAAATCTCTCCTTTGGATAAGAGGAAGCCAACCAGCTCCCCACAGGGCACCGCACACAGACAGGCAGTTAGCCATGCAGGAACTGCAGTATAACATGCGGGAGTTCCCGGCAGCATGGGAACTGCTACACCAAACACCTGCCCCTGAATAAACTTTCTAAAGCACCCTTGGATATATTTTGCTTCTTTACAGGTTTTTTGTCTATTGCCCCATAAATCTGGAGTTCCCTCATAAAGGCAGGTGCGGTCTGCGTGTTCCCCGCTACATTCCTGGGGCCCCACGGTGCCTATTACAGGCATTCCACCAATATGGGTTGAGTAAATAAAAGAAAGCATGAACTAGCTCCTTTGTCCTCTCTGTCAAGAGTTTTGTGCCCATTCAGTGGTGTGCAACGGCCAAATCCTTTGCCAGCTCACAAGAGCCAATTGTTAAACATTCAGGGATTTTGCAAATCAGCTGTTAAACTGTCTGTGGCTTGAAGTCAGTTGTGGCTAGCATACTATGCCACAGACATCTGTAAATGCTACTCATCAGGACTTGTTTCCAAAGAGCAAGCCTAGCAGGATACCACTGTCTCCATCTCCTAAATCAAACTGTAAATACTGAGATACCGTGGCAAGAAAAATCTTGCCCTTAAGTTACCTAAAATGTTGCAATATAAGATGGGCATCTAGCCTACTGGTTTGAGATGTCAGTATTGCACTTTGAAATGCCTGGGTTCAATTCCTGGCCCCAACTCCTGATCTGACACCAGAAGCTAGTGGAGATGGTTCAAATAATTGTTTCTGTCACCCATATGGCCTGTTGGAAACACTTGATCCTTCTATTAGCTAAAAAGTGATCTACAAGATGTGACTGCAGTCTAACGTGCTGTTTGTTTTCTGTGGTTTAGATCCCTATGTGAAGATCCATCTCATGCAGAACGGCAAGAGGCTGAAGAAGAAAAAGACAACAATTAAGAAGAACACTCTTAACCCCTACTACAACGAGTCCTTCAGCTTTGAAGTACCTTTCGAACAAATCCAGGTAATGTCAAACCTAATTTTGTCTTCCTATTCAATTTCATTCCTTCAGACCACATAAATTATACACAGATCGTGCAAATGATCAGTACACAGGCCTTCCTTAGAACTGCCATCGTCTTTCCATGCCCATTTGATGCTTGACTGACCCCAAGAAGGACACGAAATGCACAGCACAGGATGTGCTGAATCATCAGCCAAAAACACCCGGTGCTCTGGGGGGACAGAAACAAAAGTCGGGAAAAGAAAACCAGTGGCTCTGCTCATTCAACAAGGGCACTGACAAAGGTTGAAAGGCCAGAAGAAACTGAGCTCTCACTGTGTAGTCACAGGCGAGTAAGGAATTCTCCTTATCACAGCTTTAGAGCCAAAAACAGAGAAGTATGAAAAATGTATCTTGAGGTTTTATTAACAATTGATTAACAGTAGAAAAGCCCAGCTAAATTGCATATTTAACTGTTGAAACCCAGCTATGTGCATCTGTGTTGGAGTGGATACGTATTTTTATAAAGATGATGCCTTAATTTGCTAAATAAGAATTGTAAGACATATTCTGTTACAAGGTTCTGCAGTTCCCTGGGGACCCTGGGGTGGCTGTCTTCCATCCCAGGGTACAGAGGCTTTGGGGAGGCTGGCTGTGGCTTCTCCCCTTATCTCTCCTCTTCCCCTGGATACAGGAAGGAAAAAAAATGGAAATAATGGTCTCACCCTCCTTCCTATAGCACTTGACCCTTATCACCCTAATTAACTGTAAAAATCATCAAAATAAAAATAATTATCAAAGGAAAAAAATTCTGTGGTTAACATGTTCAGAATATGACGCACAGATGGACATAATGACAGCGTGTGATCTCATTATTTATGGATTTTTTTAAAAAATTAATCTTCTCATTCATCTTCATAAAAAATTAAAACTGAAAGTTTATATCCAGTAACTATGAGCTATTTATTGCTAAATTTTAATGGGAATCAGAGTAAAATTGTATAAAGAAATGCTTTTTACATGCTATTTAATGAGTTGAGTGTACCTTTTCAAAGTTTTAGAATTTTCCTTAACTTAGAGAAATAGAATAACCAAAAAAAGAAAAGCAAGGAACCTTCTAACAGCCCAAAAAAAGCAAACAACATCTCTTATTTTTGTTATCTCATCTCTTATGAATACCTTTATTATTTGAAGAAAGCTCATAGCTAAATATATCCTATAGTTATTATGTGCCTAGATTCAAGTTAAGCACTTTATATACATAATTTCACTTAATCCTTATAATAACCATGTGAGAGAGAGAGAAAGAAAATGAGGCTTAGTTCTTGACATATAAAATAGGCCTGATAATAGAACCATGGCAACCTGAGAATCTGCATATAAGAGAAACTGGAACAGCACCAGCCCACAGAAGTTTAATAAGTGGTTCCCATCATTGCCATTTTCATAATGCTAATGTCATTTCTCTTTTCAATTAACAGTTTATTAGAAAAAAAATCTCAAAATAAGGTTAACTCGACATAAAAATTAGCACTGTTCAAGGCAATTCTTTGTGGTGAAGAAAACGTTTTACAATCTTCGCTCTCCAATGTGGTAGCTACAGGTGGCTAATGGGCACCTGTCACCAGTGTGACCAGGGAACCTGAGTTATCCTCAGTTTAAAATTCAATTCAAACTGCTTGTTGCAGAGTCGGGGAGGCAGTGTTGTGCCCATCAGGTTAATCTGCAACTTGCTACACTGGCATCCCAAATTAGAGTGCCTATTTCAGTCCCAGTGTCTGCACTCCCAATCTAGCCATGTGCTAAAGAGCCTGGGAGGCAACAGAAGACTCAAGTTGTTGAGGCCCTGGCCCCCACATGGGAGACACGGGTGGAACTCCAGTCTCTTGGCTTCAGCCTGAGACTGGCTTTGACCTAGCATAGCCCTGGCCACCACTGTGGCCAGTTGAGAAGTGAAGCAGCAAATGGGAGATTTCTCTCTTTCTCTCTCTGGTTAACTCTGACTTTCAAAAAATTTATTGTTTAAACTAATTTTCTATATGTCACCTGTTAGTAGCTACTGCATCATATAGGACAGTTTAAAATGACTAAAACTAACCAATATCCCCCACTATCTTCACATTGATGATTTTTGCTTGGTTTTAAAAATGCATTTTACTTATTTGAAAGGCAGAGTTACACAGAAAGAGGATACCAATGAGCTCTTGCATTCACTCTTTACTCCCTAAATAGTCTTACCAGCCAGGGCTGGGCCAGGCAGAAGCCAGGAACAAGGAACTTCTGAGTCTCCCGTGGGGGTACAGGGTCTTAAGCACTTGAGCCATCCACTGCTTTCCAGGTAAATTAGCAGGGAGTTAGATTAGAAATGAAGTAGCTGGGGCTTGAACCAGCACCTTTATGGGATGCTAGCATTAGCAGGCAGCTGATCAACCTACCATATGACATGGCCAGCCTCTGGTTCATGGTTTTTTTAAAGATTTTTTTATTATTATTATTATTTTTTTATTGGAAAGGCGGATATACAGAGAGGAGAGACAGAGAGGAAGATCTTCCATCCGATGATTCACTCCCCAAGTGAGTGCAACGGAGCCTCTTCCGGGTCTCCCACGCGGGTGCAGGGTCCCAAAGCTTTGGGCCGTCCTCTGCTGCTTTCCCGGGCCACAGGCAGGGAGCTAGAAGGGAAGCGGGGCTGCCGGGATTAGAACCGGCGCCCATATGGGATCCCGGGCGTGCAAGGCGAGGACCTTAACCACTGCGCCACTGCGCCGGGCCCTGGTTCATGGTTTTTATGTAACTTCCTCACATGTATTTTCACATGTGGCAATTTGGCATACTTACCTTCAACAGCTGTTGCATAGGTAAATGGCATTGCTGACAATGCCAACTTCCTGTTGATAATCACTGAATCAAAGAGTTTACTGCTTTGGATTTACTTGGAAAATTCTCAAGACATCAATTTTCTCCAACAACAACTGATTTTGTAATATGCGCCCACTGAACTCTTTTGAGTTCTAAAATTCTACTCCTCTGGAAATAACATTTCCTGAATAATTCCACAAAACAATACAGATTATGGTGTTGAGCCTTCTCTTTTGAGCTATAATTCTTATAGCTTGGAGGGGGTGCTTTTCAACAACAGATTGCAGAAAATGTGCATGTTTTGCGAGTGAAGCACATTAAAAACAAGGCACACGCTGGGTTTCTGGGGCAGCATTTTGGAAGAGATAGCATTTTGTCAAGACAGAGAAACCTGAGCTGGATATAGAGTGTTAGGCACAGAAATAATGAGCACTCCTTGCAGTGGATCCTCCCTCTGCTTCTGGAGTCAATTTGTTCCTTTTCCTCTATCATATTGTTATTTTTTTTCCACCATGCTTCTTTCCTAGTCTTTGCATATCTCTAGAGGAAATAGCTGAGTGTTTCACATGCAAGAAGAGGGGTGTAGGATTCCCATATGTGGAGCTGATATGAATATCTGCCCTTCAGTCTTTCTCATCTCTATGAAATAGACTATAAGAGCAGCAAAATATACTTTCCAACAAGGCAAGAAAAATTTTACCTCTCTGCTCTTTTTCCCCATAAAATATAAAAGTAAGCTATAAATGCAACTAGCATAATGAACCCACAGCCACCACCAGGATCTTTTGTCTTGAATGCTACTGATCAATTCATTTCTAAGTGGAATAACCAAAAGTCACCCCACATCCCAACACTCTTCTCTGTCTTTGTGCCCACCACTTCCCTCCCCCCTCCTTGCCTTGTGATGAAACCCTGATGAATTGAGGTTGGAAAAGTTCTGAGACATAACCTTGCTTCTGGTTCCAGATACCATCCAGTGGCTAGGTAATTCAACAACCAAGTCACTCCAAGACCACACAACGAAAGCTTGTGTCCTTTTCTGTCAAAGTGTTGCTTTCTGCATCCCTGGTTGCAGTTTGAAAAGTCCTTCTCTGTTCTCAAGCTGTAGATTAGTGATGTCTCTCAGGACTTTGGCACAATAAATCAATCCTCTGAGCCCACCGTCCACTGGAGGGTTATCACTCCACCGCACCTGCATCTGGCCCTGGCTCTCATAATTACATTTTCTGCTACATTTAACTCTGGTCACAAAATATTTTGCATTGTACTTTACTTTAAACTCTTAGTTTCTAGATGGGTGCCCTCATATGCTCTGAGGAAGCATTCGTCACTTAGAAAACAGAACTAAAATTTGCTTTGAAAAACTGTTTCTTTCTTTAGAAAAAAAAATGATTTTTATTCTAAAGGCAGAGTTACAGAGAGGAGAGAGACAGAGAGGTTTTCTATCCACTGGTTCACTCCCCAAAAGGCCAGAGCAGAGCTGAGCTGAAGCTAAGAACCAGGAGCTTCTTCAGGGTCTCCCATATGGGTGCAGGGTTCCAACCAGTTGAACCATCCTCTGCTGCTTTCCCAGGACATTAGCAGAGAGCTGGATCAGAAGTAGAATAGCTGGGCAGTGAACCAGTGCCAATGTGGGATCCCAGCACCACAAGGAGGAGGATTAGCCTGTTGAGTCACCGTATCACCCCAAAAACGTATCTTACATGTTATGATGATTTGGGTTTGCTTATATCAGTTCAGTCCATTTAAAATAGTCGGTTGTGGGGCCAGTGCTGTGGCACAGCATATTGTGCTATGGGCTGTGATGCCAGCATCCCATACGGGAGCCAGTTCATCTTGGTTGTTGTACTTCTGATCCAGCTCCTTGCTGGTGTGCTTGGGAAGGAAGTGGAGCACGGCCTCGGTTCTCTGTCCCCTGTACTCACATGGGAGAACTGGATGGAACCCTGGGCTCCACGCTTCAGTGTGGCCTAGCCTGGCCCTTATGTAGATTTTGGGTGTGAACCAGCAGAAGGAAGATCTATCTGTGTGTATATTTCCCTCTCTCAATCACTTGGCCTTCCGAATAGATAGATAAATCTTAAGAAAAAACCAAAATATCCCACATTGTTAATAAGTCCTCACAATCTGAGGGAATCATTGAGGTAAATCCTATGTGCTCTACAAGGTTATTTCCATTTAACATCAATGTCACATACGCAGCAATTAGTAAATGCTAATTGACAGACCACACGAATAAGAAAACAATATTTAGTTGCTACTTTCCAAATATTTTCAATATAGTGGCACACTTTCTCATTGTAAAGCTGTCTGGATTTCCATATTAATTTTCTGAAAAATACTTGTTGTTCCCCTGCTGAAATGGGAGTGCAGCATGTGGTTGCTTTGGGAAATGTAACCAAAAAGAGAATGAATGGCCTGAGCACTAATGCCAGACTGTTGCTGGTTAGCTCACCGCAATGAGTGCAGCTAAGGAGTATCAGAAGCTGGCCCAGGTGGTGTGGCCTGATGGTTTAGAGCATAAGCTCCAGAAACAAAACCACTCATTTCTTCTACTATCTCAGATGGGTTACGTAACATCTCTGAGTGCCAATCAGCCTTTCTTGTGTAACAACAATGTTGATAGGATCTACTGGGAAGACAGAACTAGTTCATATGCAAGACTTCAACTAATGCAAAGCACACAATAGGATAATGACAGTGACGATGGTGTGGTAGCAATGGATAAATTAAGGCTAGACTCAAGTTTTCTATTTTTGAAATATTTATTTGAAAGGCAGAGTTACACATAAAGAGAAGGAAAGAGAGACAGGTTCCATCTGCTTGTTCAGTCCACAAATGGCCACTATGGCCAGGGCTGGGACAGCCAGAGCCAGGATTCAAGAACTCTGTCTATATCTCCTGGCTGGGTGGCAGAGGTCCAAGCATTCGGGACATCTTCTACTGCTTTGCCAGATGTATTAGCAGAGAAATGAATTGAAAGTACAGTCTGGCAGCCTAACAGGTTAATCCTCTGCCTACAGTGCCAACACCTCATACGGATGCCAGTTAGAATTCAAACTGCTCCATTTTTTTTTTAAAGATTTATTTTTATTATTTTTTATTGGAAAGGCGGATATACAGAGAGGAGAGACAGAGAGGAAGATCTTCCATCTGAAGATTCACTCCCCAAGTGAGCCGCAACGGGCTGATACTATGCCGATCCGAAGCCAGGAGCCTCTTCTGGGTCTCCCACGCGGGTACAGGGTCCCAAAGCTTTGGGCTGTCCTCTGCTGCTTTCCCGGGCCACAGGCAGGGAGCTGGAAGGGAAGCGGGGCTGCTGGGATTAGAACCGGCGCCCATATGGGATCCCGGGCGTGCAAGGCGAGGACCTTAACCACTTGTGCCACCACGCCGGGCCCAAACTGCTCCATTTTTGATATAGCTCCCTGCTTGTGTCTGTGAAGGTTACAGAGGGTGGTCCGTGTCCTTGGGCTCCTGTACCCACAGAGGAGACACAAAAGAAGCTCTTGGCTCCCAGCTTCAGATTGGCCCAGTTCTGGCTGTTATAGCCATTTGGGAAGTAAACCAGTAGATGGAAGACCTCTTTCTGTGTCTCTCTCTCTGTAAAATCTGACTTTCAAATAAAAATAATTAAATCTTGAAATATAAGAAAAAGAAAGTGGAGCAACCAGGAATCAATATGGAATGCCAGCATTGCCACAGGTGGCAACCCTAGCTCCTGGATTCAAGTGTTGCTGTTCTAGTCATTTTTATCCTCGCTCTGGTGACTGAGGATCGACTCTCATCTCCAGTCCTTTTGATCTTAAGGAATTACTCTAACAGGGCTTTTTCTCTCGGTGTGGACGATTCATAGTTATTGTGTATCTTCTTTCAGAAAGTGCAAGTGGTGGTGACTGTTTTGGACTATGACAAGATTGGCAAGAACGATGCCATCGGCAAAGTGTTTGTGGGCTACAACAGCACCGGCGCGGAGCTGCGACACTGGTCAGACATGCTGGCCAACCCCAGGCGACCCATCGCCCAGTGGCACACCCTACAGGTGGAGGAGGAGGTGGATGCCATGCTGGCCGTCAAGAAGTAGAGGAAAGAAGCCTTTCTGCATTTGCCCACATAGTGCTCTTTAGCCAGTATCTGTAAATACCTCAGTAATAGGGGTCCTTTCATTTCCACAGCCATGCATTCCTAACACAATTCAGTGGTACTTCAATCCTGTTTTAATTTGCACAAATTTCAGTGTAGAGAGCCCCTAAACCCTTCATCATATCACCGCCCTCCAAATCTAATCTTCTTTTAAGCAATATGATGTGTAGATAGAGCATGATGGAAGTTATTTATTGTATCACACTGTTGTATATACCAGTATGCTAAAGATTCATTTCTAGTTTGTGTATTTGTATGTTGTAAGCGTTTCCTAATCTGTGTATATCTAGATGTTTTTAATAAGATGTTCTATTTTAAACTATGTATATTGACTGAGATATAGGAGAGCTGATAATATATTATATGGTAAATATAGTATCGTCTGCATTCCAGCAAAAATATCAACTTGTAAGGCACTAGTACAGTTAACAGGACATCTTAAAGGACAACTTAAATCCAAGCTTTCTATTGAGTCATCTGAGTACCAAGATCTGCTTATACCACATAACCGGGTGGATAAATCCAATTTTGTAGAATCTCTTCACAGGCAAAACAGCATGGTCTCAGCAGCAGCCTAGCTGAGCTCAAGGAAGCATAGCCACAAAGCAGAGTAGCATCTGTTTGTACCTGTCTTGTAAAGCTCAAACCCCAGCTTCACTCTGCCATTTGAGGAAGCCACTGGACAGGAGTCAGTGGGCTCGCATTGCTGCATCTATAGTGACACTCTACAGTGTTCAGTGTGTATGTGTGTGTGGGTGCATTTTTAGGGGGGAGTCGATGGATGGGGGTGGAGGGAAAGAAGCTAAAAAGAGAAGTCAGCATTTCTGAAATGTTGCCTATCATAAAGAAAAAAAAAAAGTAGCTCTCCATTATCACCTTTATACAAAATGTGCATCCTGTGAGTTCTGCTCCGGATTTCACTCCTATAATAATTCCAAAAAAATTTGCACATTAGACTTTGTAACAAAAATATTTTATTACGCAAAACCTGACTAGAAGGAATGCAGAATATTTTTAACACAGCAATCTGTGCTTATTACACAAAGCTACTTTGTGGTAAACAGACAGTATTGTAATCCCATCTAAAGATGAAAAAATAAATTTAGCCATAGTCCTGAATGCACTTCAATTAAGCCAAAACAGACAGCTAGTGGTCTTTTTTATATACTCTTTTTACTTACATATGTTTTAATTTGTCCTTTAACCAAGGTGAAACAAAACCAAGAACAAGTTCTAGCAAACTGAAGCAACCTCTTATGTATACTAGATGCTTGATTTAGGAGGCATTTTTCAATGTTTTCAATGTTATTCTGTAGTAAATGGCACTATTACAAAGCTACTAGTCATTCCATAAAGTCTTAAAGGACTGCTCTGTGTAACACTGTGACTGCCCTGTGTGCTTAGACACGTAGTTTCCTCAGTGGATAGCACTCAATTTATTCCTTAGTGATATTGTAACAATACTGCCATTCCCTCTACTGCACTGCCCAAGGTGTGTGTAGCACAAACAGTTCTCATTACAAAGGACCAATTTGCAACAGAAAAGCTATGCATAGGACAAGAAAGAGGCATAGAATGGGGTGGGACACACAGCATTTTGTCAAGCACTGTGCAATACTTCATATTTTTTTCATCCGCTATGGCACACAAACCCCTCCATGGAAGGGCAGCCTATTATCTTAGATGGCATTTAATCTTTTATCTCACTCTCTTCTGTGACCCACATGAACCTTCAAGTCACACAGAGGAGTGAGGCTCTGATGTCAAAGTTCATGTTCAAAAAGGCTAAAGCAAAATGGAGGGAAACCAAGCCTTGACCTCATATCTGGCCCTTAGAATATTATATCATGTTTATTTTTGGAAAATTCAAGAGAACTCAAAAAGGACTGACAGAAGGCTTTGAACGTGGGGTTGGCTGTTTCCCAACAAGACTAGAATTCTTGTCATTATTCTTTCTCATCAAAGAGGCAAGCCCTTTCACCTCTCAGCCCAGTCACAGCAAACTGTTTAGGACTGGGAGGACAGACACAAAAGATCAAAGAAAACCACCCCCTTCTGTCAATGACCCATACTCCTCAAAAGACAAAAACAACACACAGATAACAGAAAAAAGTCACAAGTCATAACTTGAGACAAAACATTCCGGTGAACAGGAAATTCAAATGTGACTCCAATACAAAGGACCAAACCCAACCAAAGAGGTAGAATTGACCGACTTTTGAAAATTCCTCAAATACTAGAAAATGACATTTAATGTCACTCTATCCAGCTTTAAGTTGTTTACAATGAAACAACCCTTTATTTAGAAGCAACACTTTAAAACAAGCAGGTTCATGCTGCCATCCATCATTTCTTGCATTACAGTACTACTAATGCATTCTCTTATAACACTGCCAGACATGGAACAATCACCATAGAACTAGCTGGTCACTAGTCAGTGACCAAACCTGCTTGATGACCAAGACGCATTCTCAGATAAGCCACTTGTACCTTCCTGACAAAGCTGTGTAAAGTATTAGATTCTGATGCTCTAGAGAGATCCTAGTTGCCTTTGTGTATATCTATTGCCTGCTTGAGTGTTTCTATGTGTGGATTTTCTCTGTATCTCGTAGCAATGTTGGGGTGTTTTCTGCCATATGGCTCGTGGCCCACGAGCCAACCCCTTTAGCTGTACTTTATGTTCAATTTTTGATGAAGTGGTTTCAATTTTGTTTCTCCTTGTGTAGTGAATTCCACAGTGATTTTCTGATTGTTGTTAAAAATTACTTAACATATTACATGGATATTCAATTAAAATGTTTTATTTCCTGTTGATGTTGCTGCCTTTCAGCCCTTTTCTTTGTTGGCTCAGGAGTGACCTGTTGATTTGGGGGTGGGGTGGAGACTGTTGCATGTAGTGATACTTACATAAAACTTGTTCCCGATACCAGACCCTGAGTCACATTTCTGGACCCAGAGTGGCTGCAGAGAAAACAAAGCCTGGAACGGAGTCTGTGGTCACTCCCGTCCAGTGTGCCTGGTCACAGACAGCTGTGTGTTTCGCTGTTTCTGTTTGTGATCAGTTCATCTGGCGTCACTGGAGGCCTTCTGCAATGCCCAAATGATGGCTTCTAGAATCTCACAGCTTTCCAGAATGGGCCCAAAGATGAGAAAGGTTTAGCTCCATGGCTACTGCAATTGCTGGGAGGAACAGCTAAGCATCCTTCCTCCATTAAATTCAGCATATCAGACACCTGCTTTCTACTGTGATTTTACTGGATTCTGGAGTCCACGGGCTCTATCTGATCACACTTAGCATCCCAATGCACGATGGTGTGTACTTAAAAATAAGGGTTGGTGTAAGCATTTTACACAACTGTCAAACTGCTCGTTGGGATGCCCACATCCTATATTACAGTGCCTGGGTTCAAGTTCTCGCTCCACCCTCCCTTCCAGCTTCCTACCAAGGTCCACTCTAGGAGGCAGCAGGAGACTGCCACTTATCAGGGAGATCTGGGCTGAGTTCCTGGTTCTCAGCTTCCATCTGCCCCCGGACAGATTACTGGCAGCATTTGGGGGTGTAAACCAGTTAATAGGAGTTAAGCTGCCACTCTACCTTCCAGATAGATAGCTTAATTAGTAGTATGTGGGAGCTTGGGACTTAGAGAACTTCCACTCCACCAACCCCAGTTCACCTACAGTGTCACTTCGCTGCTCCTTCAGCATGCAGACACTCATTCTGCAGCTGCTGGAAGCATTGTCTTGTTGCTGGGGAACCACCGTGTCCCCTCTGCTCTCTGCTGAAGGAAGCCACCTCACCCAAGTTCACCCCTACTCCCTGCAGGCACCCCACACCCAATGGCTCCCCCAGGATCTCTATGAAATGCTGGTGTGGACTCAAGTTTCCACAAGTTCGTTGGGATGCTTTTATAATTGCCTTGCAATTTGGATTCTCCTTTTGCTCATTTCCTCTTACTCCCCCTTCCCAAGAGCACACCCCCAACAAAGCCCCTTCATAAACAATGGGATTTCAAATCCTGTGCAGAGAAAAAGTGAATGAAAAGATATTTACCTTGGGGCAAAGTATTTTGAAATATTTTTTCATATAACACATTTTCTAAGAACTTTATAAATACCCCTAGTTGAGCTCCTGGCTCAGAACCTGTATCCAGGTCATTTCAGAGGAATATTCAGGAGAGTTTTTTACAAATCATGAGTACTGCAGCGCAAGGATTCAGGCCCTCTAAGTGAGGCCCACATGACACACTGGAATGTGTGGTTCAAGTCCTGGCGACACTCCTGCTCCAGCTTCTTGCTAATGCAGACCCTTGAAGCAGTGGGTAATACTCAAGTAGTTGGTTCATGCCTCCCACATGGGAGACCTGGAAGGCACTGTGGGCTCTTGCAAACATATAGGGAGCAAGAACTACACATGGAAGAACTCTTTCTCTCTGCTTTGCCCAACAAGTAAATAAACAAAAAGTACTGAACATACTGGTGGAAGTGACCCAAACTGGGGTGTGGCTGAGACTCCTAAAACATGTGTCCTGTTTGACAAGTCTAATGATAATAGTCTTTGATGCTGGCTATATTATAGTCTTCAATCTGCTCTGCTAGTCGCTGCCAAGTGACGATTGTGACAAAGCCAAAGCAGTTTAGACAGCCAGAGAAAGAGCACTTCGTGACGGTAAACGATGAAAAAGCAGCTGACAAAGAGTTCTAAATGTAAGTTTAGAAAAAGAGAAGCTTGTCATCCAAGAACTGATAACCAAAAACCCATCTATATTTAAAACACAATCAGTTTTCAACAGTGAGGAATTTGTTTAACACACTCTTAACATTAGGCCGAAAACTAAGGAATATTTCTCAGTGAATGATCAAAAACTACCTCATCCTCTTTTCAATGTCTGCTGTCCCAAAAGGTTTATAAATCTAAGATCCATGCAAGTTCACTCAGGAAACTCACTATTGGTATTAGGAGGCAGAAAAACAAAACCACTTCTGGCATTTTTCGAAGAGGGAATTTAATATGGGAAATGGCCACAGAGGGAGAGCTGGGAGAGCAAAACAGACACCATGCAGTGACAAAGTAGACACCATCCTAAAGTCAGGAGAAGCAAGTGGAATATTAAAGGAACCTAGGACTGCACAGAAGGGAGTTATAACCTCAACAAAGGTAGTGCAGGGATCCCCTGGAGTTCAAACCACCAAAGACACCCAGAAGGGCTCCCTCTTGGAGGTGCCTGAATTGTGAAAAGACAGGCTGTTCACTACTGCCCAAGGAAGGCTAACAGACACTGGGAGCAGGATACAAGTCCCACCTCATCCCTTCTACCTTCCCCAGTGCCACCAGTTGGCAGAGCCCCATCAGCTGGTGTCAAGCACTCCCAGGGAGAACAGGCTGCAAGAATTGAGACTCCACTGCATGGACACAGCGGAGCCCAGGGAGGTGGCAAAGAAGGCTGAGCATTGCGGATGAGCAACACACAGCTGCACACACACCGACCCTGCCTTCTGCCTCTGAGGAGTCCAATGTTCCCAGCAGAGCCATACGAATCACTCCCCCCATCCCTGCTCACCTGATGATCGGGGCAGCAAACTCGCTTCTATATTCTGCTCATCTAGAGCATTTACTGGTTTGAAATTCCAGGCATGATTGCAGCTACCCTCTCCCCACAACGCATCTTTATTATACATGCATGGGACTCTTTGATGTTTTGCAACTGATTTAAGCTGCACATAAGTCCTTACTGTAAAACAGTCAGACAGTGACTTTGGAATACAAAAGGAGAAAAAAAAAAGAGGAGGAAAATAAAAATGAGAAATAGGCTAGTACCAATCGTCCATAGAAATTTTCCAAAGCACACAGAGGAATAATCATGCGGAAGAAACCATCAAAAGAGACCCACCACACACACGCCACGCAGGCCTGCTGATGATTTCTGAGATTGAAGGTCTGAGGCCCAAAGTGACCTGCATGTTCAAATCTGCATTCCGGACATCCATATTTCTTCATTCTCACTCCCTGACCGAAGCCCAGCCCGAGTTCTCACTGTCCTCAGTCTCCTGTGACAGTCACTATCCTGCAGCCCAGCCTTTCCTTGTGCCAGACGGCCTCGCCCCTGCCAGGGCACACACATGGCTCAAAGCAGCTTAAACTGCACCAGCCAGCCCTCACCACCTTTCCCCTGGGTTGCTCATCTCTGCTACCTGCTAACTTTCTCCAGGTTGGAAGCACAAGCAAGGGGTTAACACCCTTTGGGAGGTAAGCTGAGTTGCAAGCTCGAACAAATCCACTTTTAGCTAGGTTAAGGGAAGGCAGTGAGACAGAAAGGGATCACTGGCTCTCCTAAGCAAGGGTTAGTAGCATTCAGGAACAGCTGGATCCAGGACCTCAGGTCATGTCGTCATTCTCTCTCTCCACTCTATCCCGAAACTCCCATCTCCGCGCCTTCACTCATGCCATCCCCTCTGCCTGCAGCCTCCTAACAGAATCTCACAGGTTTCTGAGTGAAGTGGGAAGGAGGGAAGGTGCCAGATGCAGCCATCTGGGGAGGAGAGACCTGAGTTTTCTCCCCCAAGGCTCTGCACTGCTGCTCTCCGGGTGAAGAGCTGCCGACATCCTCAGGCCTCGTTTGTTACCGCTAGGATCTTCCAGCCCATGCCAATTTCATTCTGTTCCCAAACGTCTCGGCTGCTGAGGCAAAGAACGCTACTCTTTACAGCAACCCGTGTCTAAAAGAGTCCCTACTGTCCTTGAGCAGATGGAGGGGCTGGTTTGAATTTGGGAGAAAACGAACGCATTTCAAAATATATCAGCAACGCCGCCTCCAGAAACCGTGAGACACTCGAATGATTTAAAGAAGGAATTGAGGCTAGAGCCTCGACTAATTTCCAATCGATGTCAAGGCACCTTTATTGTTTTATATTTGCCTGAAAAATATGCACTGCTGGGTTTCCAGCAGTCCGGACTCAGGCCTAGGTGACTCAAATTATGCAGATGTGCAACAATAATTTATGGGCCAGGCGACTCATTAACTACAGGAGGATGGTTGCATCTGACAGTGGGGAGCACAGCCCTAGAGGCCGCCTCAAGGCCTCCTTCCGCCCATAGATGTCACGTGGCTTCAGACCCAGGCCTGGATTACCCCGAAGCTAATTCTCCTGCTTCTCAGGGAGTTTTTGAGCAAGAGTGTACCCTGTGACCCTAGTTAATCAGCACTTACTCCAAGCGCCAACTCCTCAGTTGCGAGTCTAGGAAGCTCTTAGCAGGCTCCCCTGGACTGTTGAGGACATAACTGTCCCCTCTCCCCAGGTTCACACACAGACATGCTAACACCTGGTACTATCAGGGGTGCCTCCTGCCTGGGTTCAGGGCCTTGTCTCCAACTCCAGAGGAATCCAAGGATGACAGGTAGGCAATGGTTAGTAGAAGAGCAAGAGTCACTGACATGGAAGGAATGCTGGAAAGTGAGAGAGAGCGAGAGAGCGAGTGAGCTGCACCCACCACGGCTGGGGCTGTCATCTTTATGATCTGGGGACACAGCACATAGCAGAGTCTGGGGCAAGGCTTAATTGAACAACAAAAGGGATTGGAGTCGAATCAAACTTGATAACCTCCCATCTCCTTGCCCCTTTTCAGAAAGCTCAAGTGCATGGGAGTAGGACAGTCATGTTCTACTGACCTAATGAATGAATTCACCACAGGGACACAGCTGGCAGACACAGCAGTTATCCCAGAGCTGGTTCTAAGCAGGACACTCCAGGAGCTTGGTTTCCTGTGCACTGAATGGGGTACAGTGTGGGATGCTACAGGGGGGTGCAGACAGG